GCGTGAGATCTACGACCGCTACGGTCACGATGGAGTACAATCGCACCGTAAAGGCGGTGGCGGCGGCGGCCACCACGACCCCTTTGACCTCTTCAGCCGTTTCTTTGGTGGCGGAGGCAGAGGGTCCCGCGAGCCGCACGGTCCCAACCAGGAGTTCAGGGTCGAGATCAGCCTTCGGGACTTCTACAACGGTGCCAACACCCATTTTGAGTGGAACAAGCAACAAATCTGCGAGAAGTGCGATGGGTCAGGAAGCGCAGACGGTGTTGTCGAGACCTGCAACACATGTGGTGGAAGAGGCGTTCGAATTATCAAGCAGCAGCTGGCCCCCGGCATGTTCCAGCAGATGCAGCGACACTGCGACGCCTGCGGCGGCCGTGGTAAGACGATCAAGCACAGGTGCCCTCACTGCCAGGGCCAGCGCGTGGAGAGGAAGCCGACAACCGTCGACCTCAAGGTTGAGCGCGGCGCCAAGAACGGCGCACGTGTTGTGTATGAGAACGAGGCTGATGAGAGCCCCGACTACATTACTGGAGATCTGATTGTCCACCTCAGCGAGAAGGACCCGGCCAACGACGAGAACCCCGAGCGAGTGGACGGCGTCTTCTTCCGCCGAAAGGGCGACCATCTATTCTGGACCGAGGTGTTGTCGCTGCGGGAAGCCTGGATGGGTGACTGGACCCGTAACCTGACGCACCTGGACAACCACGTAGTTCGCCTGAGCCGCAAGCGTGGCCAGATCGTCCAGCCTGGCCATGTCGAGACGGTAGCCGGAGAAGGTATGCCAGTCTGGCATGAGGATGGTGATAGTGTATACCATAAGCATGACTTTGGCAACCTCTATGTCACATACGAGGTGGTCCTGCCCGACCAGCTCGACAAGGGCATTGAGTCGGAGTTCTGGGACACGTGGGAGAAGTGGAGGGCAAAGAGTGCGGTGAACTTGCACGCAGACAGCGGCCGGCCGGATAAGGAGCCTCCCGTGCGAGATGAATTATGATGGGAAGGTGCAGTATATAAATGTTGAGCGTGCAGTGTTTATAGAGAGGATTATACCATAGAGTCAAAAATATGGGTTTTTGGGATATCCATCCTTGACTGCTACTCGTCTTCATAACTATCTATCCTCTCCGTCAAACATGCTGGCTGAGGAAGTCAGGTTCCACTTCATCCTGTCGGGGAATAGATCTAAAACTCCGCCATAGATACCTGCTTACTAGTAGTCCAACACTTAGATTTTGTGTTGATTTTGTGTCCCCCCATTCAGTAATGGCTTAATATGCATGGTGTAGAAATCTGGCGAAGCCTATTCTGAGAGTACTCGCTGCATGAACCGATGGCTTAGCAAAGGGGAGGCAGGGCGACAAGACCAGGATGAGCTGTTCACTGGTATGTAGACCCTGAAGAAAACGGATGGCCACGAAAAGCGAGTTATGACGTTTCAATGGAGAACTTTGGCAAGCGCCGCTTATATAAAGTGGTTAAGTACCAATCCAGCAACCCTCTAAGTGTCGCTCTGAAAGACAGATGTAAATTGTTTTCCTTGTGAAAAATCAGTGTCCCCTGGTATGAAACTTCTACATGTGTGGTATGAGGTTCTCTCGTTATGACATCTTGCATTGCCCACGAGAAAAGCAATGTAGGAATATTATTATATATGTTGATATCTGACCCGCTGGCGGAAAGACTAAACTCACCCCACGGCCACCTATTAAACCTTGAATCTCGTGATGAGGGGGTCAAATAATGGATGTTACATTACCTATTCCATGTCATAAAGATTTAAAACAGGAGCTTCATTGTCTCCGTGCCATACTCCACTCTCTAACACCACATACATGATCACGGGGATCACGACGGATCGTACTGGATACTTCCCGTTGCATTGCTCAAGCAATATGGAACTTGTCCTCAAACTGGCCATACGAATGTCACCATCAAGCAGCAAGGATCATGATGCTCTCCATTGGGGCTGGTTCCGCAGCTGCGTATGGCGATGTGACATGTGGTCTGTGACGTCGCTGCTGGCAAGTACCTGATGTTGAAATGGTACGCTTGAGGTACGCCTCTGGTTGATTAACCTTAGATTAAGCCTCCCACTTGCTTGCATCCGCGTTTTATTTCGTGTTTCACAAATACAACACATGCAAAACTGCAGGGGATAATAACAATAATGCAGCATCAAGTTCCCAAGGCAGGCAGCCCGAGGCTTGTACGAGTGATCAATCTAACCCCTGGAGAGCTTCCCGTGGCTTCCGGTGCAAAGCCTAGGCTGATCGTAGGCAATCAGCGCTGCAGCAGGGAGGCACGTAAGCTGCCGGGCCACAGTTTAACGTCGAGCTTGTGCCTGGGAAAATGGGCCTAGGAAGAGTAAAGTAGATAGCGGGCTAGCTCCACCGTAGCTCCCAAGCTCCCCTTGCGCCCCCCAAAGCTTGGCAAGCTTACAGGCGTCGTCACCACGGCTACTCAGCCAACAAAACACACGCAGCACTGTAGAGCACTGCATAACGCTGTGCTGCGTACTGGAGGTAGCGCATGTATCCATTGAAGGCACCTAATGCCAATGCCAATGCTAATTTCCCCACCAACCGTCCAGGAAGCGCAATGCCCACATCTCATCTCGGCCTGTTGTCTTCCCTTCCAAGGTCCTAATCCTGATCTTACCTCTGCCACCACTCTCTTTCAACCCATCTCTCTTTTTTCTTCCTTTGCTTCCTATTCCCCGCTCAATTGGAACCTCCAATTGTCCTTCCCGACCCCATTGAACCTCCATCCGCTCTATACAGTATAATCTAAGCTCCAGTCACCATGGCCCAGACCCAGCAGTCCGCGCTCATGGAGCAGCACAACAAGGCCGTCGCCCGCATCCAGGAACGGGTCAAGCACTTCTACGCCGAGAAGAAGCCCTTCCGTATCTACCATGGCTCGACCAGCTCCACCCGTCCCATGTCCTTCTCCCGCGACGAGATCGTCGACACCAGCGACATGGGCCGCATCTTTCCTGTCAACAAGGAGACCATGACTGTGCAGTGCGAGCCCAAGGTCCCCATGGACGTCCTTGCCGCCCACTGCATCAAGGAGGGTGTTATCCCCAAGATTGTCATGGAGTTCAAGGGCATCACCGTCGGCGGTGGATTCTCTGGCTTCTCCGGAGAGAGCAGCATGTACAAGTATGGTCTTTTCAGCAACACCGTCAGCGAGATCGAGATCATCCTTGGTGACGGCACCCTCGAGACTGCCAACCATGAACACAACGCCGACCTCCTCGAGCACGCCGCCGGTAGCTTGGGTACCTTCGGTATCGTCACCCTGTGCACTGTCGAGCTTATCCCCGCCCAGAAATTCGTCGAGGTCGAGCTGCAACTTGTCGAGGATGTCGTGACGGCCCACGGCATCTTCGAGGAGAAGACGAGCGACGAGTCCATCCACTTCATTGACGGTGTCTACTTCAAGAAGAACAGGATCGGTGTCATGCTGAGCAGGTTCCTTGATGCTGTGCCCAAGGGTCAGCGTGCTCTTAAGAAGATGGAGGTGCACTGGTTCGCCGACACCATGGAGGCTCACCTCGACAAGAAGCCCACTGGCGAGAACCCCGCAAAGATCTACATGACTCTGACCGACTACCTCTTCCGCTACGACCATGGTGCTTTCTGGGGTGGCAAGCTCGCCTTCACGCACTTCGGCGTCCCCCAGAACTTCATCACCCGCCGTCTCGCTGACCCCTTCATGGACAGCCGTACCTGCTACCAGGCCCTGCACAAGTCCGGTCTGGCCGACGAGTACGTCGTTCAGGACTTCGGTATCCCCTCTAGCACCGTCGCTCAGTTCGTCCAGTTCGTCAACGACACCCTCCCCGAGCTCCAGATCTTCCTGGCTCCTTGCAAGACCGCTCGCGAGATCGGCCTGACAGCCCGCTTCAACCCCCGTGTCGCCGAGGTCGCTGACCAGCGCATTTTCGCCGTCGGTGTCTACGGCCGCGGCCCCGACAACCACGAAGCCTTTGTCGAGCTCAACCGCAAGCTGGAGCTGCGCAGCGCAGAGCTCCTCGGTGCCAAGTTGCTCTACGCACGCACCTACTACACCGAGGATGAGTTCTGGACCATCTACGACAAAGATGTCTACTTTGAGCTCCGCGCCAAGTACAAGGCCGACACCCTCCCCACCATCTACGACAAGCTCAAGGCCGACATGTCCACAGGCGCCGGCAAGCGCCGCCCTCACCGTGGTATCCTCGAGACCATGTGGAGCAAGGTCACCGGCAACAAGGAGTACCTCATCAAGAAGGACTAAAAGGGGTTATCTATTCCCCCAGGGGGGGGAGTGTGGTTTTAGAGAGCAAAAGGAGGACGTACAAAAGCTGGATTAATATTTGGGGTCTCCGCCCTACCCTCGAGCAATCAAGATGGGGGGCAAGGATGTTACAAGAAGGAAGTGGTAATTTAAGTGGCGGTTCAAAACACCAGAACCGAAGGAATTGAGGAAAAGGAGGACAAGAGGCGAGTTGAGATGAGGTTGCGTTTGCGCGTTGCCAAGCATTGTGATACCCTGTACAGATTGGTGCAGCGTCGTTTCCGTACCCTGGATTTTTTTACGTGATTTCTTATTTTTCTCTTTTGATAGTTTCGACAGGTCTACGAGTTAGAACTGGTAGGTGAAGCGGTAAAAATACGATATCCTGGCTTATATTTGCTTGAACTTGTTGGACTAGACGATTCTTTAGTAAAGAACACTCGCAGGCGATGCATATGGTGAAGAGATTTTTGCCATTGCTAGAAACATTTCTACATAAAAGATATCACAAGATGTCCCATCCATCTAAACGTCATAAGTATGTATACTCATATCATATCATCATTCTCGTGAGCAACCAAGTCATGAGCCCGACACCCACGACGAAAACAAGAAAAGACCAAGCAAGGAAATGAAGAAAAAGTAAATAAATCGAATATGGAAGTAGAATAAAGCAAGAAATCCGTCGTCACATGTCAGTCATTAGGTCATTATCTATGTCGATGCCGCCTGCGATCGTGATCGTCTTCCTCCTGCAACGCTTGACCGCCAAGACCCCCGATTACACCGCTGCCCAGTACGTCGCCCAGTAAAGACACCCAGTTCTTCTTGCCCTCCATGACGCTCGTGACGCCCCGGACCACGGTGTCCATCAGCTGGGGGTCGGCCCCGCCAAACTGCCATGAACCTCGCCTGTCCTGGTCGTCGGGGTGGCGACTCCTGTGACTATAGTCGGCGCTGCGGCTGCTCCGGTGGTGGGAGCGGCGAGGTCTGTGTTCGCTTACGGGAGAGCCTCCGTCGTCAAAGCGGTCGGGAAGGATCTCAATATCATCGTCCGATTCCGATGCGGGAGGACGTGATTTCCTGGACGGTCTGCGGACGATGCGCCGTTCCGACGAAGCGTCTCGCTCCTCACGTTCGCCACGCTTATTATGATTATCGCGGTCATCACTCTTATCAGGCTTACTGCGGTCGTTGCTCTCATTGCGACGTTGACGAGCGCGGTCTTGAGAGCCAGCAAGGAGGTCTTGAGGTCGAATACGGACAATGCGTCGCTCTGACGACGAGTCTCGGTCAGGGCGATTATCTTTGGGTTTCTCGGGGGAATCGGGGGTGTCAGGAGAGTCTGAAGGTCCATTTTCAAGTAAGAGAGGGGCGGGTCGTTTTATATCCCTGCTTTCATCAAAGAATCCTCTCTTGTGTCGTTCCATTGTTACCGAGCTTCTTGGAGAGAGAGGGCCAAACACCACAGACTTGGCCCGAGGTGGTGCTTCGCTTGGAGGTTTGGGGGCTTCACTTGGAGGTTTTTGGGGTTGCGGTTGCGTTATGGCATCTAAACCCGGGTCAGTCAACATGGTTCCCACGCCCGGTCAAGCTCGCACAGTCCGATCGGACGCACCCTCTTCGCTCCCTCGCAAGCAGGGATCTTCACTCACATGCTCTGGGGGGTAACTGCCCGCTGAGGAGCGGGGACGTGGGGGAGGGCCGGCTGGGGGGGCAGGCGGGAGCCCCGAGCCTCCATTAATTCCCATGCCCACGTTCTCACCCGGAGTTCTTGGTGGGACATAACCGGTGTAGTCCTGAGGGACGTATCGGTTGTTGTGATACAGATTAGCCTCTGGCATGGCTGCATTGGCGTAACCACCGGGAGCATCCTCGCGACCAGGGGTAGAAGAAGGGTATGGTGGAAAGTAGGCACCTCCAGATGCGTTTGGTGGCGATGTGCGGCCATTGTAATCGCCGAAGTAGTCAGGGCCTCTCGCGCCTCCTAATTACGACGTGTTAGTTCAACCCAATGCCACGTTCACCCTGGGTGCCCATACCTCCTCTAGACCTTGACCTCGAGCGATCCCGTGCTTCCATTCGGTCACGTGTTCGCATCTCTTCTCTCGCCTGCCGTTCCCGAGACCTCCTATCCAGGTCCTCCTCTTGCTTTTGGCTTCTGAACTCCTTGATTCCGAGCGCAGCAGCTCCGCCTGCGGCCATGTCGCGCAGACGGCTCTTGCTACGGGCATGCCTGTCCCTTGCCTCACCTTCGTCAGACGAGTGAGAACGACCACGCGACCTCCTTTGTCGACGTCGCCTCTCCTCAGCTTCAGACTCGTATCCGTGTGCAGACTTGGAGGGGCCAGGGCCGAGGGGATCATTTCCATACTCGATCAAGCCAACCTCTGAACCAGGAGAGCGATTGCGGGCTGACGGAGCTCTTGACCTGCTCCTGCTGGGAGCACGGCTGGAGGCACGGCTTGGACCACGGCTCGGGCTGCGGCTCCAGCTTTGATCCCTGCTTCGGCCCCTAGTAGAATGCCGTCGACTTCTCTCGCGCTCCCTGCTTAACTCACGCTCATCATCTTCCTTGTTCTTCTTCTCAGCGCGCTTGTCCCAAAGCTTTGCAGCAACACCAGCAGCGGTGGCGGCACCACCGATCTCAGCCAGATGGCGAATCTTGGACTTGCTCCTGCTCCTGTCCCCGCTCTTTCTTCGCGACCTGCTTCGAAGCTTCTTGATGAGGCCAGCCGTTGCGGCAGTGCCCAAGGCGGCTTTGGCGACTGAAACGCTTCGCCTCCGGCTACGAGATCGAGCCGGCGATCCTGAGCCGAAGCGGGACGTGGCGACTGAGTGCGAGCGTCTTCGGCTTCGTCCACGACTGGACTCTTCCTTGTCGACCTTGTTGGCCTGCATATACTTGGCCGCTCCGGCGGCAGCAAGACCGACGGCAGCGACGCCAAGAGCCTTCTTAAGAGTCGAGTGGCTATCTGGAGAGCCTCCGTGCTTTTCCTCATGGGCACTGTAAGCCCTCCTAAGGGCCTCAGTCCCAATAGCTCCCAGGGCCGAACCAGCAAGAACCTTTCGGCGGCGGTGCTCAGGCAGGTCGCCGTTCTCATCGCGACGACTGGAGAGCAGAGCAGTAACACCAGCGCCGGCGAGAGCACCGGCAGCCATTATGCGCTTGCGGTGCGGGCTTTCGCTACGTTCCTTCCGAACAATTCGTCGGTGGTGGACGTAGTAGTCTTCGTCGTCACTGTAGCTATCGTGATGACGGCGGTGGTGGTCCATCCGCGCTAGAGCGTGGTCTCGCTCCCGGTCGAGGTCGGATCTGCTACGGTAAGGGCCATCATACTCTTCATGGCGGTAGTAGTACTCCTCCTCTGGCCTATCGCGCTCCCTCCGGACCATCTCCCGAGCGGGCTCCTTTTCCCTCCGGACCATCTCACGGGCGGGCTCCTTTTCCCTCAGCATCACGATGTTGGACTCTTGGCGCGGTACGACAATGGGTGCTGGGGGAGGGGCTTCCTGGAATATGATCTTTTGGGGCTCAGCTCGCTGGCGGACTATGACTGGGGAAGGAGGAGGGCTGGGTCGGATATAGTATTCAGTTTCCTTTTGGATACGGTCAACATCGTGACCGTGAGAATCCTTGTATCGGCCTTCGTATTCCTTCTCGACGCGAATCTCATCGTCGTGTCGGCTATAGCGAGACCGGCGATCGAAATCCACGTCGCTCTCCTTGGGCTCCCAGACGGTGATACGACCCGGGTCTGCGTCTTTGTGGAAGTCCTTCTCAGGTTCATAGTAGGCGCTACGGCGGTCGTCAGGATGCTCCGACCGTGGGATATACTCTGAACGCGGGCGCTCCGGGCGACGGTCAAAGTCGTAGTAGTCATCTCGGGTTCGGATAGGCAGGCCAGAGTAGCGGGACCGGGGCTCGTCATCAACCTCGAAACTCTCGTAGTGGTCGTCACGGCCAGGCTTGATCTTATAGCGACGGACCTTTGTGGTTCTGTATCGCTCCTCGCCCGACTCGCTGCCGTCGCGGTCCCGGTAGCGGGACTCTCTGTATCCGTCCCCCATTGTGAATAATAGAATTACGCCTTACAAGCCTGGGCACTTGACAGGAGGGAGTCGAGGCCAATGGCAGTTGTGAAGGGGAGTGGTTGTGTCCGGCTGAGTGGTGAGCGGACGTGTTACGGCGGGATATGTGTGTGCCCAACCAATGACGTCCTGTCGTTGGGTATCGCTAATAATGTGTGTGCTGGCTCTGTGGTTGAAGAGAATGGATCCAAGTTTATTATAACCACAGGCAGATGATTTGCAAAAATAAACACGGGGAAATGATCGCCTGCGCAGGAGCAGCGGGATATGTAAGAGAGTAAGTCGCAGGAATAAGCTGCGGCGAAGCAAGGCGAGGCAAGGCAAGGCGGGAAAGAGCCAACCCAAGACGAGACGAGGGGGAGGGGTTGCCCAAGCAAATCCAGTGATGCTGAATGACAAAAGCACCCGCTGGTGCATGACTGGACCCCTGTCGGAACGCTGAGCAGACGCCCATCCAAGCCCCCCACCCCCTGCAGCCTGCTTATACACAGTTTCCAGCACCCTCTATCATGCAGTAATAAGGCCCAAGAACCCTCCACCTCCACCGCTGGACGCACCAAGAACCCCGTCGCACCAGGCTCTTTCGACAAGAACGCCCTACGTAATCGCCAGATCTCTTCGGGGCACGGGTCTATCCCATCGCTGGGCCGCCGTGATCGCTCGCAACTCCATGGCTCTGTCGCGGCCTGAAACCGATCCTTTCCAAACATGAGAGATTTCTTATATTACGGGCGCACCTCCTTATTATTCCTTATTATGCATCAGCACAGCACAGCACAGCACAATACACAAGCTGGGTAGGCTGGAGAACCGCCAGCCCGGCCTTGGGTGAGTTTCCTGCACGTCATCCATGGCTATGCACCTTGGCACCCAACGAGGACCACCATGAAAACACTGCTATTTACAAGCGCCCCCCATGACCGGAAAAGACCTGCGAGCGGCGACGGTGGGAGCGGCCAATGTCAGAAGCCTGCCTTTAGCCTGAGAACCGGTTGCTGTGTGTCTCAGAGCACCGCCTTGTGACCACCACCCTCTCTGGACGGGCGGCCTCTGTTTGGACTATGGCCTCGACCACCGTTTTATTGCGTTACATTGCGTCCTCCAGCGGTCGCTCAGCAATTACTGGACTTGGGGAGATAGTAGGACATGGCCCATTCCTCGCTCCGTGAGAATGTACAAGCCAGTCCCTACCCACCCACAAACTCTGCAGGAAGCATGATTCTGCTCCTTGCCACCGCAGTCTGTTCCCAGACAGACCGACGTGGCTCCAGCGACCCGCGCGGCGACGTAGAGGTTGACATGACAATGAATTGATTTTGACTTTGCTCTGCAACAACTGACGTGCCACCTCGGACTCTGATTTGGCCGGCAGTTGGACGGATTCCTAGGCCCCGTTGCGGCAAAGGCCTCTCCCGCATTCCAGCACCAGCGACCTCCCATCTGTCCTCCGGCCCGCACCCTGCTGGCGGTGATGTCGTCATGGCGCCTCGTAGTCTGGATCAGCCAGCCCTGCTGCATGTATTGCTTGCTGCTGGCCTTGCCTCCGCTCCACACACAAGATCGGTCTCGGAGTGAGTCTAATTCATCGCAGCGACTCCAGTCCAGAGACAACGGCTGCGTCGAAGTAGAGGCTATCCCCGAAGGAACCACCACACCATTCCGAGACAACATCTGCTGCACTGCGCAGATGACCCGTCTGTTTCTTTCCCTTGGGCTCCGTCAATCCATCCCGAATTCGAGTGGAGCTGCTACCCACCGCTATAAAACTCCACCCCTCCACCTCTTCCATGCAGCCTTTCCCACACCTGAAGGGACACATACCATGTCTTGCATGTCCAGTAAACTTGAGACAGTCAGACATTATTCTGCTTATTGTCAAGTGCAAGAAGTATTGTCAGAGTATTAAGGGCTAATGATGAATTCTAGAGAGTTAATATACTGCATACTGTTTATATGTACTATTTTTATTCCAGTCATCGTCGACAAGAGCCTGCTCACACCTTTTATTTCGATGTCTCATTTCTTCTGTCACACAGTCATGTACTAAGAGCTTGTGTTCTAATTGTGGACGCAGTTTTCAGCAATTGCACATTCATCTCACTCAGCAACTAGTCGGATATTCTGTAGATACTCAATGTAAGAGCAGGAAACCAAGAAAGGGCTCAATGATGCGCATAGATGACGAATAGCAATAATACAAAATGTCCCAGCACCAGATTGACAGCTCCCAAAGCTCAAGACGCCAATAACTCCCGTTCTTCTGTCCTTTTATCACACACAAAACGACACTCCTCCAGCCCTCTGCAGATACAGTCTAGTCATCAAATCCCCCCTTGGAGCCGATCACGCCCACGCCTCCGCCGCTTCGGCGCTTCCTGCCGATGATGTCGCGTGCCCAGTCAGTGAGCGTGAAGCCCCAGTGGCCAGCCACAAACACGCCACTGATGATGTTGACAATCTTCAGCATAAAAGAGAGGAAAGTGGCGCGAGTCTCCTTGATGTACAGCTGAATTGGCTCGATGTCGTACTTGATGAACATGCCGGGGATCGCTCGCTCGCCAATTTCGGCGCTCTGCTCCGTGACTGCATACTGGTTCGTCGTAATCGTTTTCCTCCCGTGGGTGTACTGGGTTGGCACAACCGACAGGTAGTACTGGAACTTGTAGAAGTTGGCAGGAGCCAGGTTGACTGTACGGTCGAGGGGGTTTTCGAGGCTGGGGTAGAAAGGACCATAGGAGAACTCATTGATAACATGCGAGAAGTTGAACTCTGTCACCCAGTTAGTACCTTTACGAGGCTTTGAAGAAGTGAGCTGGAGATGCGCTTACTGCTATGGTCAAGATGCTGGCCAGTCTCGTAATAGCCGTGGCCACGGGCAGTGATGTGAAAGTCTCCCTGGACCTTGTTCAGGTCCATGCTTCCAAAGATACGGCAGCTGTCAGTCTGTCCTCTTGGCCTTGGTGTCTTGGCCCACTTGGCCTTCTTCTTTCCCAGGCTGACAATGTCGTGGATGTGCTCCTCTCCGAAACCCTCCTCATGCATGGAAAACTGCTGCCAGCCGGCTCCCGTGACCACACGTCCGTTCTCATCATGATTGAGCTGGTGCACGCCCTGTCGAGTCGCCCAATGGGCCCAAACAGTCGGGTCGCGGTTGAGCTTCGCGCTGGCAACGATGCGATCGCCAACGGCATCCTGGACGTTGATGTGTAAATCCTCGCAGTTCATGTTGACCACGACGTCCAAGTTGATCTGCATTTCCTGGGAGACGCCCTTCTCGACAGCAAAGTTGTGCGACTCGGTACCATCCCACCAGCGGGACACTTCAGCCCAGACAAACAGAACAGAAAAGAAGAGCATGGCTATGGTCCACTTGCCGCCGTCCGACGTCCGTTGGACATATTGGGGCTTCGACTTGGCTTCACAGAACGTTAGTTTTCAAGCTCTCTGGGAGAAGTTGGGTAGGCAATGCCATACGGAATGCGTCAAACGCCTGGACAATGCCTCCACTGGCGCCAAAGTTATCCTCCTCGAGGCTCGATTTCTCGAAATCGTCCATGGTCTATGTCTTTCCGCCAATTGATGCGCCGCTTCAGTGCTGGGTTGTGTGGCTCGATACTCGGTAAACTAGGCTGGATGGTAGGTCGACCAAGCTCGGGGTGTCTTTAAACAGGCTGTCGTAGAGGTAGGTCCGAAACTACCTCATAGCGGAAGAAAAGAAAGAAGCGAAAACGAAAACAGGCGAATTGAATGAGAGGATAGCTTCAACTTCGACTAGCGGTTGCGCTCAATTGCACGAGGTACGGTTGTTAACACGCTGAGCTAACAACTGAGGTTGCACGCGTGGCTGTTCAGTGTTCAGCTCCAGCGGCTGATTCGTCATGTTTGGGGTCCTGGCTCACCTAGCAGCCCGTAAGGACAGCTGGCTGAAAGCAGGGCGACTGCCAATTTGGGTGTCTTGGCAGGGTCCATTCCTATTATGCAAGAGAACTCCGGAATATTATTCATCCGGATCCGCTAACGAGCCATCGCCACTCGCTTGGAGTCGGCATAGGTTAGGTGCCGTCGTCTCCATAAATACCCACCTTAGGCACGGAGCAGATCCCGTAGCTTGATAATGTGACCCAAGCAACAAGGTACTGCTAAAGTTCGTGGGTAACGCCGCTTCTAAGGCCCCATGGCCATCTTCGGACTACCAATTACATTACTTATATCAAATTATGCAAGCAAGGTTCACGAATGTCGACTCTGAAAGTAAGGTAGCAGAGTTATGGGAGGTTGTCATGGCAGCGGCTTCATACAAGTCAAGCCGGAAGGAGTGTACGTGCGGCTTAGATGGTTTTTTGGGCCAGCTCTTCTACCACCCTGAAAGAGCACGTCATTCGTCTAGGGACATCAATGGCTGCTCTTGCCCAGTGATGCGAACCCACTGACTAGAACCAGAAAAGGATGTGTGTTGACGAGGAGAGTTGCTAACGATCTCTCGTAGCCCAGCTTACCCAGTCCATTGTACCACAGCGGGAATCACAGCCACTAGCAGACACACAGCATCCGCTCTAGCGAAAAGCCTGTTGGCTTGCTCGCCTTCTGTAAAATCTTCCAAGAGGTACCTATCATGAAGTCTCATGAAAAATAGGTGCGTTGAGACAAGGCAGCACCTTCCTTGGCTTACCAAAAGCTCGTACCTTTTAGGGCTTCCTTTTAAGTGGGGTGAAAGGAAAGCGGGTCCTCTACAAGGGTTTATCAATGGAGGGGTTCCGATTTCGCTGCCCCTCCATCTTTTCACTCTACAACAGCTTCCCAAGAACTAAACGAGCTCAATTCATTGATAGAGCTCCTGTATCATCAGTTTATTTCGTATAGACGTCATATAGAAGCACATTCTATCAAAATGCCTTCTGTTCTCTTGCTCGGAGCCGGGTTCGTCGCCCGACCGACGCTAGATATCCTCAGTGATTCCGGGATCCCCGTGACTGTCGGTA